TCCTTGCCTATGCTGTCATTCAAATTAAGGAAGTACAGCAGACAATGTCCAACACCTCCGTTTCAGGAATAACCGGCATCTCAATCAATACTCTCACCACTATCATTCCGATTGTCATTTCCGTCGCCGAAATCGCGTATATAGGACTGGGCTGGAAGATATACCACGAGTTCGGATGGAAAGTGTATAAGTTCCTCGGGGCAGACCGTAGAATCAAGAAAATGTACGCCAACTACCAGATCTACGAATGTTTGGTCAAGTTCGACGTCTTCTTCTGGGCTGGTTTCTCGGTGCAGTTCATTTGGCTGGTACTGAATGAGAACGACTGGGAATACTATGTTACATGCGCCGCACTACCACTCTCTATTGTGTTGTTGGTTGAAGGACATCTTGCTGCGCGACACGAGAACAAGTGGATGATGGCAACCTTCATGTCAGGTTGCGTGGGTGCTATGATATATTTCATTTACAAGGTGAGTAGTAATTATGACACCTTTACATTGTTTTAACTAACTCCCTCCAGCTAATCAAGGTACTATTGTTTCTGAATAGACCGCAGTACAAGCTTGTATGGAAGTCCCTTACTATCTTCTGTAAGTTGCCATGCCTTTACTATTGACTCCGAGGCTTACTTCTTATAGCCGTCATCGCGATCGTCCTTCTCGTTGCAACGTTTATATTCTCAGTGATCATCCTGAGAAATTTCGGTCAGGGACTAAAGAATGCTCGTACGTCGTCTTGGTATTGCTGTCGCTCGTTCTGCCACTTACCTCCCAAACCAGTAACGAAAAAGAGCAACCAATCTAGTTCCAAAAACCATGGCCGTGCAGCAAGTACGCACCTCAACCGCATGAGCATTGATTGAAGTGCTCGATCTCCGCTGCATCTCGGCCTCCGTTGTACTGTAAGATTATCGATGACGAAACGGACGTTCATACCCAACGACATATCTATCGACCTGCATCACACATCCCATTCGTACACCCGCTCTGCACGTACTAGTACCTTAGCTTATTCATAAATTGCATCCTCCCCACCCCCGTTGTTGCACATCTTCATGGGCACTCTGTAGATCCAGATGTACCCACACCATTCATTACATTTATTCGACTTCTGCTTCACGGGTTACATAGATTGTATTATATGTTTATATTCGCTGCATTTGTGCTGAGATGCATGTCAGTTTTCATGGAGAGGGCTTGTTGCGAGCGTAATGCCTCCATTTGGAAACTACGCTTCACTAAGAGCGCTGGCGTCATTTTGGGTTCAGCTCAACGTGTCACCACGAACTGCAACGGATGCAAAATTAGACCACATACCCCTTCTCTCTCTTCATCTTTAATGGCGCAACGGTGAACACTGTACCCTTTCTTATTCAAATAACACTCTGACAGAAAGTTATCTAGTATACGAACGCCTGCTAGTTCTCTCCGCGACCGGTCATCGCTGCTGGGAACAACCCCACCTACGTCTGGACGTTCAACACCGTTTAATGACTATTCGAATCATCAGTACCAACAGTACAACAGCAACCGATATGCGGATGACCTAGAAGGTCAAAATGACGAGGCACTGGAGGGCCTGAGCGCGAAAGTGAAGCTGTTGAAGGATGTGCGTGAGTTATGCAGTCGTGCCTTTGGTTTCCTTGCTGAATTCGATGCTTGCATTGGTAGATTACCATTGGAATAGGGAACGAGGTCCGAGAGTCGACGGTACAACTCAGTCAGATGGTGCGTTACTGTGGTTTCTGTTCTGTGAAGTCATGCTAACTTGAATGGTCAGAACGACGCATTCGCAGAGACCAGTGGTATACTAGCAGGGACATTTCGGAGAATGAACAACATGGCTACAAGGCAAGGCTGTCGGTGGCTGTGGTACATCGTCTTCCTGGTCATTGTTTTCTGGTTCTTCATCGTTGTATGGTGGTTTCGGCGGTAACGCATACCGTTCTGGCCAAGTTCTACATGTATCTTATTCTTTCCTCTTATTCAACTCATGCCATTCAAAACTCCCGCTTCAATACCCGTAATACAAGCCCACGAAACCAGAGATCAATTACTATGTTACAGCAGAATAGTCAAGAACAGTCCATCTCAAATACACAACAATTAATAATCATCACGGAGTTTTGAATTGCCAATTTCCCATATCATTCGTCGTCGAAGATATGGCATGTCCTTTTGGGTAAAGATGAAATCTTCCTCACCACGAGATAGCGCTTCGAGAAATTGGCAAGTAAATACGCCACAATCATAACCATTTTCTTGTTGTGGGGTATCCTTGATGATTGTTAGCAAACAGTTCAGGCTGCAAGAAGTATAAGGTCCAACGTACATCTGGTGCCCAATTCTCCCACCCGGTGAAGTCGAACGGTTTCTTCTTCTTATTCCGGTGCTCTTCATCTAGATATAGATGTAGAACCTATGGTACAGTTAGTGATGGAACAGACGAAGCAGAATATTGTATTCACCTTGAACACCTTCTCCTTGGCCATACCCATGCTATCATACGACTCGAGGCGCTTTTTGCGGAAGTTGATAGCGGCCGCCGTCCAATGGGCATTACCATGGTTAACAGGAATGAGAATAACGTCTTTTGAGAAGATATCGATCTGTGGACGAAACACTCTTAGCAAAGAGATCATTGTTCGAATACCATGTATTCACCTTCTTGGTCCACTTAGCGAGACGTCCTTTCTCATAACCATCCCCAGTTAACTTCGCCCAGAAGAACGAGCTGAAGTAGTGCACATCCAACGGCTTCTTGTTCCCCTTATTCCACTTCACGGAATTCTCCTTTGATTCCTCCGACCGCGCTAATATCATTGCACCATAGAAGTTGATGAGCTCGTCGTTTAACCACTGCCCAGGCCTCAAACGACTCAGGTCCTGGTTCGACACTTGCTCTCTAGCAAACTTGGAAACTACGCCCTGTTTGTTGAGCAACGATTTGACTTTCACTTCATCCTCTGGTGGAAGAGAACTAGGAAGAGTTGGCCTTGGAGGACGTAAACGAAGTTCCAGTTCTTCATCTTTAACGCGAAGGCTTTTCGTGAGCTGCTCGAGAGTAGGGGAGAAGGGTTTGGGTGGTTTGGGTCTAAATTGTGTCGATTAATTAGCATTTCTTGATGCGGCTTTGCTTCCACTTACGCTTTCAGTGTAGCGTGCGCCTTGAATATAGCACGCTGCAGAAATTCAGTCTCGTCATCCTATATGAAAATGTAAGTCATGGAATTCCTTAGCAATGTGAACATCCGTACTACTTTTTGCTTTTGAGGACCAAAGTCGACAGCTGCCAATGAACGTCCGCCTAAACGGATATTTTAGGCGAAGCTATTAAGGTATTGGCATAATACACTTACGAGATAACGACGGTACACCGAGTCTCTCTAAATTGAATTTGTAGTCGAGCAAGCCTAGACACAAGTTCAATTGATGAATCAAAAGTCATTAAGCTATTTCTCACTCTCGAAGTCCGAAAAAGTGGATGTAAACCCTGAGGTCCTTGTTATTTATAATGAAAGATTAGCGCTTGATTTGTACGTACCTTGTCGCTTTCTATTGTTGAATAACTCGCGCCGTAACTGTAAAACCCGAGCAGCTACTGAGGCTTTGTGCTACATCTGCTATTAGAATAAAATCAACGCAACAGGGCCACATCACCCACCTGCTTATTATGGATGTGCTTCCGGTTTATGTACGGCCTTCGATTGGTATTATCTTCCTTCAAAAAACCAGGCTTCTCCTGATGCCAGTTAGCTTTCTCATTTTCAAGAGAGCACGTATTCTGAGGCTTGTAACCGGACAACCACGAACCCTCCTTCACTGGAGAGGCGAGACGAAGCTGATCCAATTCAGAGGCAAGTGGATCAGGAGTTTCTGACTTGAATGCAAAGTCGTCACGATTCTGGAAGGTTGTAAATATAGCCTTAGAATCATCCCAGAGTTTCCTCTTGGGTGTGGAAGAACCCTGTTGAGAGTTTACTAACGTGTCCTCCACTGAAAGCTCTATCCTCTCCTCTTCATTTGCACCAATAAGCACCTCAGTAGGGTCTACGGGATTCCCTGCCGCGTCATGATATTGAGTCTGCGATTCATGCAATGATTGGGACCTTCCATTGGGATGTGGCGTACTCGCGGATACAGTGGCATGCTTCTGATGTTTGGGGGATAACATAGATATAGGCGAGCCCTCTTTCTTGACTGGACTAGAGGATTTCTTCAATGCTTCATCCGCCTGCAACTGATGTCGTGCTGGGACCTCCTGGCTACTTGATGCACGAGGCGCGTCTACGACTGGAGAAACGAGGCATTCCTTAGGACTCGCAGTATTGGCTAACCTCTGACGTTTGCCTTTACCGGGACTGCCTTTACTGGGAGATCCTTTACCAACAGTTCGAGGATTACGTGGTGCAGTGATGTTTAGCGGCAGTTGTTGCTGACTGTGATAGAAACGGCGACTTTGGTCGTCTGTACGATCTGAACCTAATATAAATTTACCTCACGGCATTTCACAAATGATAGGTACAAGACTTACCACTACCCCCAGCAATCCCCAACGTCTCACAAGTCAAGGCAATGAATTCCCGTCCCAGCTCCATCCAGCGGGCCAACGTGCCCACTTGTTCAGAAGGACTTGAATTATGGCCGTCAGATCCTAGCACAGTCTTTCTTCGTTGCTTCACAGAATGAAGAGGAAGTAAAGATTCTGATGCGTGACGTTTGCGAGAGTTCATGAGAGCTGGAGGAAAGAGGCGCCAGGAGTGAACTAGGCGTTAGGAGCGTCAGCGATGTTCAGGCCGTCGAGCACCAGTATTAGGGTATGTTTGGATTACAGCTCTGAAGATGAAGTCGCGCCGGGTCCTTGACCACGAGAACGTCGCGCGTAGGGAACGACGCTTGTAAGGTGTGATGGATTTTCACAAAGCCGAGCGACTGTGAACGCGGTGACAAGCAGGCCTGTGTCACGCTTGTCACGCATCACATCACTGTTGAAATGTCGCCTTCATGGCTCAGCTGGTTAGAGCGCAGGTCTCATAGCAATATGAGGTTCGGTCTTCGAATCGCAATCCTGAGGTCGTCAGTTCGATCCTGACTGAGGGCACATTTTTCTCATTCACCGAGCGAGGAAGACTCGGTGTAGCTATTCTTTTGGGTACTACAGCCTTCGCAACTATCTATGGCTTAAATACACGCTCGTATTCGAACAAGGCCAAGCCTTTCAGTCTTCTTTGAAGGGTCGATGAACGGATCAAAATCAGGCTAACGGAGTGTACAGGAGAATCAAGATCATTGAATGCTATAACATGTACTTCATCACTATACTCTCATACAAATTGTCTGCTGATATGCCAATACATACTTCGAACTCAAATAGCTTTCAAAATCAGATCGACAGATTTGTACATTTGAAATGCAGTCACATTGCGTGTAATAGGGATTTCCCTCCTTGCGCGCTGGTCGCGGGGCTTATGTATCGTTCAGACTGAAGGCCCGTGCATATTACACCATATTTTCACGATCCGCCGAATCATTCCGCCGTGTAACGCGAGATGCCCATTGGAGAAGATGTCAGATGGAGAACCAGATGATATGCAACTCCAGGCGGTGTTTTACAGATAGTCGGATGCCAAGGCGGTAGATTTGCTCGGACGCCTGTGATTTTCCATCGAGTAGCTGGAAATATCTCCTGGGAATGGCATATTCAGCTTTTTTATCTCGGAGATACACGCGGTGCTGAATCGATACAACCCGATGATTGTCCTTTTCCAACGGAGTCCGAGATAAATGTGTTGACGGGTTGCTGACAGTGTACAACTGGAGAGTTGACCAAAATAATTTCCAGAGACAAGCAGCAGACCAATATTTCGCAATACCAGGAAGCTTTAGTATCGCAGTATAGAAAAAGCCTGGGGATATAGACCGGTATGCGGTAGGATGCCACTTGCGCAGTCATCCACGTAGAATACTTACTAGTGATGACTGTAGAAACGGAAAGCCGTTCACGCCAGTCGTGGTGTTAGAAGAGAACCGAAATGCGGAGATAAAGCGATGGTAGTTTATGCAGTAGCGCAGAATCACGAATGACTCTGGTTCGCACACCATTCTAATGATTCCACCAGCATCTTGTGAAGATAGATCGATGCCCAGATCGCACGCCAGCCACCTGTTACTCCTGAATTTCAAACGTACAACGCACGCCACCAGCACCTGCAAAGAGGAGAGCGAAAGAGGTGACCTTGGCCTTGAAGGAGGAGGCGTGGGGGAAGGACGGAGAGACGATGTAACCGGCAGGAGAACGGGAGGCACGAAAGGCTTTAGGACGTGTGACGGAGCGGACCACGGTCGAAATGGATCGGAAATGGAAATTCCTCGGCTGCAAGTCTCCTCCTGACGCCGGAGTGGCTGCTACTTCAGCTTTGTTATCTTCCTTCTCACACGAGCGCAACATATAAGAGTCTATATATCCTCCTTCTGCTCATTTACTCACCCCACTTGCATCGGACGCGTCTCTTCCCAGCTCCCCGCAGGTCTATTCCGCTTCCTAACTACCCCTTACCCCTCTGCTCCTCATTAGCCAACTACCCGGATCAAGATGGGCATGAGCTATCGTCGCTACCTGGCTGGAGAGCGCATCTACGGCTGCTCAACCTGCAGGACCCATCTCGCGACCATCCATTCAATGATGTCCCGAGTAAGTTGTCAGGCAGCATCCCAAGCTTGCTGCTCCCAGCCATGACGCATGATGTGCTAACCCACCCCTAACAGGCGTTTAACGGACAGCATGGCAGGGCATACCTTTTCGATGGAGTGTACGTTGCCCCTCTTCATTTATCCTCAAACGTACTCACCCGTATGCATCTCTATCCTTAGTGTGAACGTCATTGAGGGAGAGCCCAATGACCGGCCAATGACTACTGGCAACCACACCGTTCGGGACATCTACTGTGTCAAATGTGGCACCACCCTGGGCTGGAAATATGTGAGTTCCGTCCGCCATCATACTTCCCATTCTCCATTCTGATCGTCACTTCTCTATCAGGACAAGGCCTACGAACCTTCGCAGAAGTACAAGGAAGGCAAGTACATTCTCGAGCGCAACCTGCTCGTGGATGTGCAATAGCTTGCCTGCTACTCCTCCGGCTCGTTGATCCGTGCTCTTAGCATCTAGTTGTTGATCGTAAACCTGCATTCCCCTCATCGACTCCATTTCTAGAGGGTTAAGCAGTCGATCCAACTAACCCGGCTGGCCCATTCATCGCATTGGTCTAGGTTTACTACATCATCATCTTTCTTCGGACTTTTCACACAGGATTGTATAATTGCCCCTTGTGGTTTGTATGAAGGGAGACGGTGGCAGAAGAGGGAGGGAGGTGGAGAAGAGATCCTCGCTATCGTCCGTGACAATCCCACATGAAATGGGGTCCTTGTCCAACGACGGCCAGTCCTAGCTTCGAACCCCCTCATTATTGCAAGCATGCTTGCAGCCAACAACTCATGGCTTCCATATTAGACATCATTCCTCAACCTCGCCATCCTCATAATCCACTCCAGTCGCCCCTATTTCTTTTGTATATTCCCATTCGCATAGATCTGGCAGTAATCGCCCATCCACTTATCGTGGTTGTTATCTTCCATCATATTACGCAATTTTACCTCCATCCCCGTATACTGCTCAACTTTACGTGTGCAGTCCGCATTGCGTTGTAACATATCTGGCGTTAATATATTTTAAGAGAAATGAGCCCAAGCCCTCTCGAAAGTATCAGTCAGAATGCGTCAACATGTCAAAATCTACGTGGCACTAAGTCGTCATGATGACATCGAGAATTGCATATGCTATTGACACGAGCAGCGGTTATGTTAACGCCAACTGACTTAGGGCGTATCAAGAATAGGTGTTTGCACGAAGATATGGAGGTTCCTGAGCAAGATAATGCGTTACGTCGAGACTAGCCTTCAATAGCGGTCGTCGGACAGCATATCAGGCCAGCTGTTCTAGATTGACGTTACTAATCTACTATGGTCCATTTCCAGTCTAGAGAAGGTATGAATCATGGAAGTGTCTTCTGAACCTTCCTCTCGTGACTATGGTCAAGGCGTAATCACTATACGGAAATATCAGATGCTTTACTCATCACACTACCGTCTCCAAATAGAACAGCAAAATACCTGGGGTGGGCTGCTTTCTGCTGTCGATTTACGCTTCGAGGAGGGTATAGGAGCAGGACAAGTGAATAGAACCTGTCAGTACACCTCTCCATACGCGCTGATCCTAGAAAATCCGAAAAGAAAGGCTAATCGTCGCGTCAGGCTTTGAAGTATTTTTCACTTGCACTGTAACCGTTCGTCTTGGCTTTCCCAGGTTATTCCCAAGGTCCAGGTACTGAAAAGAAAGAACCACTGCCTGTATGAGACCCGGCGACACAACTCTCTTTCGAAATGCATGATCCTGAAAGCCCCGAGTAAAAGGATTAGCGTTGTAAGCCTGCTAGGTAACCGTCAACGGCACTAAGCAGTGATAAAGGGCCTCATGCCATAGCTCGATTAACTTGTGATATCAATAAACCGACGTCGACAGTAATCTAAGCGAGTAATCGCAATCGCTAATCGTGCGGTTGTTCTCCAAATAGCACGAAACGAAGCTTCGGGTTGGAATATAATATTGGATAGCACAAGTACAGAAGTACAATGCCGGAGCAGATACATGTGGTGGTCTCCACGAAACAGAGTGTCGGAATGGGAGGACTCGCCAAGTTTACGAGCTTGAGAGAGTCCGAGGAGGGAGCACAGGAAGAGATAACAATGGATCAACGCGGGAGAGGAACCATGAGCCGCAGTATCTCTATTCGCACCAGAGAGAACAGGAGAAGGCCAGTCTTGCAGCGATGGTCTAAAGGTAGGATGGTGCAGCAGGAATAGCGAGTAATGCAGAGAAAACGCGCTATTTCCGGAGTGGAAGTGGTGCTGCTGTGCTCGTGATACCAGATTGAGACAGAGAGCTGCATAGGCGGTGGCAACTTGTGCTAATAGTAAGATGGCGCAGCAAACGATGTCGGGATGGATGAGAGCAGGGTGGGCCAAAAATGGAACAGAACTCAAACAGGCGCCTCCGACCAATCACGGAGCGCTACCGTTTGGGGACAAGCCGCGGCGCGTTCTGCCGAAACCCCAACTGAAGTTCCCGTGTGTTCCCCAAACGAAATGTATGGGTTCGTATATCTTGTAACCCCCAGAGCTATAAAATCGACTGATATCTTCTCGTCCCATTCCCCGCATCTTCCTCCTATCAGTGCTCTTCTCTCGCCTGATTTTTCTTTGACTTACCCCGCAATCATGGGTGCGCTCTTTTGCATCCTAATTCCACCATTCACGCTGACTTTCCCCCTCTTTTAGCCTCTCTTTCCATGTCGCGCCCTGTCGTCTCGTCGCCCCTCGCAGACTCGTCCTCAGCACGAACTGCTACCCAGCGTATTGCAGTAAAGCGCAACACCTCCTTCCCTTCATCACGCGCCCTCCGCCCATTCGCAAGCATCTCCCATGCATTCCAACAACCAGGCGCGGGCCCGACGGCTTCGTCGAAGAAGCCCATGAAACTCATCCAGCCGCCTGAAAACTTCAAAGCAACGTTCGTGCTTAACCTTACGCAGGCAGAACTATCCCGACAGGACTAGATTCCTACTGCCGTTACATGTTTCTGCTTTCGCTGTTACCCCCATGCACCACACCCGCCATCACACCCACCACCAATCCCGATATCCGTGCCCGCCCTCCACGACACGCACATCACATCTAGTTGTCATATTTAACTCTCCAGACGTTGTCTGGTCAGATTCCGACATCCAACCAATTGTTTCATTAGTCGCATTCAGTACCAATACTTGTTCTATACACATTCATCCGGACCGTATCCTCTAGCATAGTTTATTTCGCTTACTTCTTCTCTTGACACCCCTTCTTGTTCGAGTGGCATTAGATATCTCTTGTTCGCTAGTATGTACGTCCAAGATATGTTGTTGTAGAAGTCTAGTTCAATGATAGTTCATCAATCAGAAACAACAAAACTTTTGGGGAGGTTTTGCATCCCTTGTTCATCAAGTCGCA